TTAGGAAGATATGAGTTGTTATTTTGTTTTTCAAGATAAATTATATTTTAAACATTGTGAAAAGTCAGTTTATATTCATTTGATTTAAGTTAAAGTAAGGTGAAAAGAGAAGTAAAGGTTCTCCAGAGAACTATTGCGAAGATAAACAAAATTTTGTTTGATTTGATTTGCAGTGATGGGACCATCATTTCATTTAAAAGTAATTGTGGCTGGAAGTTGAAAAGTATTTGAAAAGCAATTTCAGCCTCATCTTATGGCTTGCTATGCGAGTGCCTAAGTGCTTATGATGCCAGTGTTTTGTGACACTGCAGGTAAAAGCCAATATGATTAGTATGGAAACACTAGTCATGTAACATATTGGTATTCAATTTCTTCTTCTTCTGTACATTACCCAGATAGCACAGCATATGCATGTTTTAGATTACAGGAAAAGCATTTCCCCAACAAGAGGTAGATTTTTCTTTGACAAGTCTTAGGCATTTTTACTAATATTGTTTCATGCTTCAAAATATGAATTCAAAATATTTTGTCACCACAAGTGTCTGTTAATGTTTTATGGTTTGCAGCCTGCCACTAGTGTTTGTCTAAAAGATGGAATCTGAGAATATTTTGTGATACTGAATATATATATATAGTTGTTAAGTAGTTTTATCAATCTTTTTTTATACAAAGCCCTAACTGCTAGAGTAGTCTCTGCTTCGAATCTGGAGCCTCCAAGAGCCAAGCTAGATGTGACATTTGTCATGGTGTTTAACCTTGTGTGATTGATATTTCTATGAAATAACCATGGGTATAACCATGAAATAACTATGGGTAACTTAGAGTGGGACCATAGTATGTGGGGCGGGGGCTTTAACCCATTCCCTCCCCCACTGTTTATATCAAAATTCCACCCTGCTGCAAGCAGGAAAGCTCCCATTGGGTCTGAAGATAAAATGAAAAGGGGCTCTCTAAAATTACACACACACACACACACACACACACACACACAATATCAAAGTCTCTGAGATTCATTTCATTATTCCGAAAGGAGCTACTTAAGAAGTATATAACTGAAGCTATCGATTTGTGTGTGAGAATATCATAGAATAAATAGGACTTTTCTGCTAGTGGTCAAACAATACAACAATAGGCCACTTCTGAAGTAACAAAGAGTTAAACCTTTGGCCATTTGGACCTCCAGATGTTCCTGAACTACAGCTCCCATAATCCCTAGCCATTGACTATACTTGCTGGGGCTGATGGGAGTTGTAGTTCAGCAACGTCTGTGGTAGGAGGGAGAGAAGCAGAAGTTCCCCACAGATGAGTTAAATACCGGTAGTAGCATCTAGTTTCTTACACTGTTCCTAGATCCTTGACTGAAGGACTCGCAATTTTTACATGGCTCATCAGACACACAGCATAACATTATCATTTGGAAAGCTCAGTCACACATGAAGGCTAGCAGAAGAACAACTGACACAAAAGATGAGAAGCAATAAGCATAGCTCTGGGCAATGTTTTTTCTCTCTCTCACTCTCCTCTGTACACAGCAATAGTTGTTATTCCTGAGTTTATAACTAGAAACATCAACCTTTTGGACATTTTCTGCACACACACACACACACACACACACACACCCTGGCCTGGCAATGCATTGTCTCATCCATGAACAGAATGAGCAATTGCAATGACTCAAGTGATGAAGTGTTGCCTTGAAGTTTCTTTGGCATCAGATGAATCCCATCTATATTGCAGCTGTTACCAATACATTTCAAGAATCACAAAGGCATTATTAAGAAGGAATACATTTTGGAATTCTATAAAGACATTTTTATGAATACATTATGTCACTCATATGCATGTGCAATGTAAACATTTTGGTCATGCTGTACTAATACCGCTCCAGTTGTTCTTTTTACTTTAATGCAGTTTATTGCAAAATGCTCAGAATTTTGACAGTTTATCTCGGTGATGTTTTTGCTATATTCTGCAGCTATCTGAGATACACTACATCAGCTATTTGCTATATGTTAGTGCCTGTTTTGCTATCGCTGATGTATTCTTCTTCTTGTTGAGATTGATGTGAAATATACCTGTTGTTTTATCGTACATGTTAAATTTCAACAGTTTATATGACTCACTCTGGGATGCTATTGTATTGAAAAGCACATAATAAATATTTTAAATAAAAGAAATATGGTGATATCCAATGTTAGTCATACTCAAAGGAGACCCGTTCAAATAAATCAACTTTTTAATGAGGCATCTTTAACTGGTTAAAGACTTGGTTAAAAATTTACCAGTGGATTTATGATAACTCATTGTTTTCAAACTAGAAATTGACTAATTCCTTGTTCCCCAAAAGGCATATTCTGGTACTAAGACAGGCATAATGTAGGTTTAGACATTGGCTGCATTTGCACGACATTGTAACCCAAACCCAGTGTGGTGTAGTGTTTAAGAGCGGTAGTCTCGTAATCTGTGAACCGGGTTCGCTTCTCCGCTCCTCCACATGCAGCTGCTGGGTGACCTTGGGCCAGTCACACTTCTTTGAAGTCTCTCAGCCCCACACACCTCACAGAGTGTTTGTTGTGGGGGAGGAAGGGAAAGGAGAATGTTAGCCGCTTTGAGATTCCTGAAGGGGAGTGAAAGGCGGGATATCAAATCCAAACTCCTCTTCTTCTTCTCTTCTTCTTACTGGGACCACGAGGACATGTGGGCTCCCCCCTGAAGCAGAGCTCGCAGCCACTTTGGTCTTTCCCAGTCATTTTTACTCCCACACCATGCTGAGCTAAGCCATGGTTTGACTTAGCATGTCATCCAAGCTCCTTCCTCACTAACCATGAGCTGCAGCCATGAACAAACCACACTATTGAAAGTTTAACTTGTATAAGAAAACATAACAGCTTTGATCTATATGGCGGCAGCAGAGATAAAGTGGGGGGGGGGGAATATGCTCGCCAACCAGGAAACAAAATGTTATGTGGAGGTTAGCATCTAACAGGGGAAAAAATTACTGATTTCTACAACATATTGACGATATAATAGGAAAAACATCTCTACAGCATTAAGGTAATAGGTGAATAGGCATTGGGTTTACAGGATACCTGGGCCGCAGCATTCCACATATCATTTTTGTAGTTTCCTTTTCCACAGTTGACCTGCATTGTTTTACTGGTTTAGAGAAATACTCAATGAAGGCATGATTATTACTTTTAAATTGCAAATGGTGTTGTGCCTATTAACTTCTACTAGGTATTTTATTTGTATGGCTGTCTTGGGATACGTTGAACCCCAGTACCGGATTGATATTTTAGATTTTTAATTGATGAAAGGTTAAAGAAATAAAAGGACATACCCTAGTACATAGCTGTCAACCTTCCCTTTTTTTGCGGGAAATTCCCTTATTCCAGCACCGTTTCGTTTCCCACTGCTTCCTGCTGCTATCCCGGATTGTTAGATAACCCGTAGACTGTCCCCGGGACAGGTGAGGCTGCTGATTCCTTATTTTCTAGGCTGCTTTTCCTTTATTTTCAAATCTGAAAGTTGACAGCTATGCCCTGGTACCCTTCCCCCTGGAAAACCTCTGTTGTGAGGGAAGGGGGAAGCCACATGACGTGAATGTCAGTCAATAGGTGCTGGGCTTTGCCATCATTTATCTGTTACTAAAAATGTTTCAGGGCAAAGTCCATTTGAAGAGATCAATACCTGAGTTGCTCAAAACCTGAGGTTCTCAACTGCATTCATATAACAGGGAATCATTATGAAGTGTTCCCTTGATATGTAAAGAAGGTGCATCACTCTCTGCTTTATAGAAAGAACAATTCATTGTGAATTATTCAGAATTTTTTAGTGTATAATTTTAAACCGCTTTCTCTAGAGCAGTTGCTGGAGATAGCCAATAAAACTGTAACGTTGTAGTGAAGAAATGCCTGGTCTTCCTTTTTTCAAAGCTTGGTTTTAGATACAGAGCATAGATCATTGCTAAAACTGCACGATATCTGACTAAAACTGAAACAACTTTGCAGGAATTGCATGTTGTCTCTATAACAGACCAAGATCCATGTGTAGTAGGCCACGTGCAAGATTTCATGTGTAGGAATTTTCTCTGTTGAAAACTGTTATTGATAGCAGAGTGCTAGTCATCTGTTTATAAGGAAAGGAAAAACACTGTTCAAATCGTTCCACCCAAATAGAGAGGCTTGACAACTGCCATAGGAATAGCTAAGTGCAGAAAAGTGAGCTGCACACCAATTTTTTTTTCTATGCATAAACTTTAGATCAGGGGTAGTCAACCTTTTTATACCTACCGCCCACTAATGCATCTTTCTTGATGGTAAAATTTCCTTACCGCCCACCAGTGCTCAATGGAAGGAGGATTCAGCTTGTGCTGTAGAACCCCCTACCACCCACCTAGAATTCTGAAACACCCGCTAGTGGGCGGTAAGGACCAGGCTGACAACCCCTGCTTTAGGTCAAGCAAAATGTTTAATAGAAACATCTTGGGGCAAGTTTCCTACTGTAGCTTACCTAAGCAGACTCATCCTTGTACACCCTAAAACTGTTTGCTATGGTCCACCCCAAACCCTACAAAAGTCTGATTTTTCTTCATGCAGGATGTTTAGATGCCTTTTTTTCTTTGGCTTTCTGGATTCTCCATATTTTAGTACATATTTTATTGTGTCCTTAGTATAAGATGCTCCGGAAAACCTAATCTGCAAAGACTCTGTCTTTTAATTGCATTCATCATTAAATTTTTAACACATTCCTGTAAAGTATTTAGCAAGTCTTTCTTTGTAGATGTTAATTATGCCAGGTTTTCTTCTTCTTTTTTTACCACTCACACACTCCAAAGTGATTTTCAGATCAAGTAATTTATACCAGGTATTTTTGTTTCTCGGAGGGCCTCATTTTGTTGAAAGCCTGCCTAGATTATGCCCTTTTGTCGTGTTCTCTGTAAATGCTAAATCAATGCAAAGTGAATAGATTTCTATTTCTAAAAATACCCTCTTCCACAGGAAGAAGAACTAAGGAAGAGTGGGGAAGCCAAATACGCACACTTGAGTGATGAACTACATGTATTAATTGAAGTGTTTGCCCCACCCGGGGAAGCTTATTCACGGATGAGTCACGCCTTGGAAGAAATTAAAAAATTCCTCGTTCCAGTAAGTTGCTTGTAGCACTGTTGCAAATGTGTGTGTGTTATGCCATTAGTTTAAATGCATTAAGAGCAATACTTGAAAATCAGAGCCACCATTACTTGTGTGTTTCTCCTCCTTCCCCATGGCACTGTCATGGCTGCAAATTAAACAATATAACATATTCCAGCAACCCTTGATCATTCTGCATTTAAATTTTCTTTTATGAACTTCCGAGTGATCTATTTGCAATTACAGGTGACCCAGATCCAGAGATATTTAAGGAATAGATCCAGTACTGTGGCCAAAGAGTGCATTGTTCCAGGGCAATGTCATCTCAGAGAGGTGCATTTTGAAGAAATGAGTGTTTCTTGTCTGAAATACCCCACCCCCTTTCTTTGCTTAGTTTTAGTGCTGTCCACATGGAGTATTGGTCATTGGTAGCAATGTAAACATTGCATTACTACACTGCATGCTTTCCCAGGTATTCATCCATGGCTAGGGAGCACACACAGTGTGAGCTTTTAAGTGCCCACGGTAGGGTAAATGGTTTTGCAGTTCCACTATTTCCTAAATAATAATTATGTAATTTCCTGTTGAAACACTTTGGACCCCACCCACCACCCCACCCCCCCCCGCTTTTCTCACTTTAACACAGCTGTTATGGCTAATGATCTTGTCACAGACATCAGGCAAGGAAAGATGTCTAAAAAGGATTTATCTTTACTGTCTATCCAGCCACCTTGTCCCAGCTGTTTAAAAGTTATCAGCTTTTCAATGCCATTTTTAGATTAAGAGCTTCACTGTGTTCTGGTGTGCCATTCTGGAATAAAGAGGGCATGAACAAAAATAAAAGGCTGTGGTTAAAAAATTGCTCATTTCTAATCAGAACTGAGAAAATGTACAAAAAACTGAGAGGATTGTGGCACAACCAACTTATTATCGCACCAGGTTTCATGGGCTACAGCGCTCTTCATCAGATGCATCTGATGAAGGCCACAAAAGTTAATGCAGGAATAATTTTGTTAGGCTTTAAGGTGCCACAACACTCTCAGTTGTTTTTGCTACAGTAGACTAACATAGCTACCCTTTCAGAAACTGAGGAAATATAGATATCCAGAACTTGTTATCCCAAGGATTTATTGGCAAATTGAATTGTGAGTGATGATTTGGGGGTGAATATATAGTAAGGTCTACTAACTTGGGTGGCTTTAAAAGAAGATTAGACAAGTTCTTGGAGAATAAGGTTATCAATGGCTACTAGCCATGATGGCTTTGTTCCAGCAGGTTTCTTATATTCTAATGCACTGAATGAATACATGCTGAAAAGTGGATAGACCTGGTCAGTGCTATTTTTCTAGAAAAAGACATGCCAGAACTCTCCATGAACAGCTCCCTCGTTCTCTTAGAATGCCAATGGCGCCCACCTGAGAGGTGTCGGAACTGAGTTGTGGCTGAAGAAAAAGCCCTGGACCTGCTTATAAGCTTGGTTTTTTCAGAGATAGGAGGGTTGGAACCAAGCTGGAAAGGTGTGCTTTTGGAAACAATTTTTTCCCTTTCACAAAGTACTTGAAATGTCAAGCAGAGAAGGAAATTTACATGTTCATCCTTTTCAGTACTATTTGCAGCGCTCTTGCATTGTGACAAATCAAGAGATTGCACAACCACCAAGGACATAACGTACAAATAACCACAGCACAATATAGTTAAAAAGAAGTGTGGGCATGGCGTTAACAGCTTGTGCTGTATAAACTGAGTTGTTTTTAGCCAGCATCTTTTGGTGTGGTGCCTGATGCATTTGTGTGTCTTAGCCCTTCTTCATTCAGCTGCTACCCTGAGTTGGTGGCTGAGTAGTGCAGCGTGCGCCACATGCGGCATTGCTAGAAACTGCACACTTAACCAAAGTTTAAATCTCATGCCTCTTCAATTCATAAAGAATGCTACAGCAGAATGAGGAGCCTCAGGGGGGAAATGGAATTATTGACTTTGTCAAAGCAGAACACTTTAATTATGGGCCCTCGTATAAAAGTCCCAGGATGAGCCCATTAAATCAATACAAATTAGAATTCAGAATTTATACATATAGTAGCAAGTCTTAATATACAGAGTATATTCATTTATGGACACTTATTGACTGTACCATAAAAAAAACATTACTTCATGTAGGATGGTAATCTCATGCTAATACCATTTTCTTCTAATGTATATATTTCATATTGTTGTCACAGACCAGGTATTGTCTGTTACACAAGCATAGCAATCCTGGGGTAGAACCACAGGCTAAGAGCCAGTACACATAAGAGAAGTTTTTTAGTCCCTTTTCTCTCCTCTCAATACAAAACCCCTAATTCCTGGGATAAATCTAATTATGCCTTCTCATTCATGGAAGGGCTTTTCATCTAGCAAACATTTCTGCTAACAGAAGAGAATGGGAGCTGATTTTCCCAGCACCACTGCAAGCCCCTCCAGAACTGATTGGTGATCTGCAGGAGGTGGGGTTTGCAGGTGCAAGGGCAAATCAACAAACCCATCTCTCACACTCTTATTTTACTGAAGCTCTCACCAGACCAAAGACTTTTACAAGGAGATAACTACTTCCATTCACAACAGGGATGCGGGTGGCGCTGTGGGTTAAACCACAGAGCCTAGGGCTTGCCGATCAGAAGGTCGGCAGTTCGAATCCCCGTGACGGGGTGAGCTCCCGTTGCTCGGTCCCTGCTCCTGCCAACCTAGCAGTTCGAAGCATGTCAAAGTGCAAGTAGATAAATAGGTACTGCTCCAGCGGGAAGGTAAACGGCGTTTCCGTGTGCTGCTCTGGTTCGCCAGAAGCGGCTTAGTCATGCTGGTCACATGACCCAGAAGCTGTACGCCGGCTCCCTCGGTAAAGCGAGATGAGCGCTACAACCCCAAAGTTGTCCGCGACTGGCCCTAACGGTCAGGGGTCCCTTTACCTTTACCTTTTTACTTCCATTCACAGAAAGGCAGAATGAGATCCTTCAGCATTTCACAGATGATAACAGGGGCACAGTTGTAGCGCTCCTATTCTTACACTGCCTAAGCACCTACACACACAAACACATACAAGAACACTGCATTGTGGAAGACTCTACTTTCTCTGTTGCATGCTGTCTTTGTTTACACGGCAGTAGTCTTGATATAGAATCTAAAATACTATTTATTCTTTTGCTTAAAAATATATTTGAAAAAAGAAAACATAATTATATTACAAAGTGTAATCAATTGTTCTAAATGTACCGTAGCAGGTGTACTAGGTGCAGTGGCAGTCTGTGGTGCTTTAGCAGTTGTGTGAATGCCTTTACATAGAGGTGCACTAGAGATGAGATGCAACTACAACCTACTTAGGAATTTAAGTTTTAGAGACCAAAGAAGCTGAACAAGTCTAGCAGCTATAGCAATTTCGAAAACAACATTTTTTTATAGCACATTTCTAAATGTGGGAGTTTGCAGTCAAACATAACTATGCACAACTGCTTGTTAGTGCATGAAGGGGTTAAGGACCACAGAGTTGTATTGCTAGATAGACTCAGTTAGGTCACACCCCCTCTTCTCTGGAGAGGAAGTGAACCCTTTCTACTTCCTCTATAGTGTGTGTGTGTAAGCTTGCTTCTGAGCTTACAGCACATGTTTGGAAATATATTCTGTATTTTTTACCCAAGAGTATTTCTGCTACATGGAACAATGCATGACTGAGACCTCGAATCTGTAAGTAAAGCATTTTAAACTTATTTAACAGTGTGTGGTCTGTTCATGCAAGAGAGATAGAAAGAGGTCAGCTGCTGTGTGCAGCTGAAAGGGATTAAAAGACCTAACAACCTATATTCCTAATGCTTTACTGTGCTGCTTATTTTTGTGAATCTAATACTCTGCTTTCTGTGTACTAGCCCAGCGTTTTGAATCCAGGCAACCCGCTGATTCTTTTGTTGTTCACCCACACAAGTGGGTCCACAGGGATTCTTATTTAATTCCCCACACTAAAGGGGAAAGGGGACAGTCATCTACCAGGTGCTGGGGCTTTCTGCAAATGATAGGCATGTAATCAGATTCACAGGAATACTAAATCCTGAGCTGAAGTAGGATGCCTCAGGGGGATTAGGAGCTTGTCAGAGATGAAGCACAAGGCTGCACAAGTCAAAGCACCAACCTCTGAAATGTTTCATATTGCCTCAGCGATCCGAATGTCAGAAACATGCTGCACACTAGCATCTAAACGTGAAAATAATAACGCTTACATTTACTATATAAGGCATAGCAGCAGGTGGAGGAAGAGAGGTTGGAGGGAGATCTCCATTGTTTTTACTCAGAGGGAATGAGCTCACCTGGAAAGCCAATCTCTTTTACTTCCTATGCATACTCCAAATCAACTTCAAATGTGCCTAGCACAAAAGCACCTGGACATATTTTCCATTTGGCAAGTTTCTCATTCAGGGGCACTGGTGGATCTTGAGCCAAATTGGGCAGCCTATGAAGCACTTTGACCTGAGGCAGACTGGTTTCGGAAGTACAAAATTAAAATCTGACTCAAAACATTTGGTCATTGCATATCCCTAGCAAGTGACCTCTCAAAATTCATCACACTATTTGTTGGCTGAGAAACCCCATTTCTAGAAGCATAAGGAAAAAGAAAAATCTAGACATTTTCTTGAAAGGTTTTGCACTAATTAAAAAAATTATTTGACCAAAAGGTAGCATTTTTCCAATTTGTTTCTCTCCTTTAAGACTAGGATATAATATCCAGGCATTTTGTGATCTATGATTTGTTTATCATTTGATTTGAGCATGGTGCCTTTTTATTAAAACAACAACCCTCCACTTTATCATCTTTGCTGCATTGTAAAGTCTCCACAAATTGTTATAAGGTTTAGGATTTGGTTTACAGCAGCAGTAATGACCTGGAACAAGCAAAAACTATATTTTATGGCTTGTTTTCTAGCTTTATCCCTCAATGCTTTATTTCAGATGTATAATATAGCTAACAAAGCTGTTATTAACTGGCTTGTTAAAGTGTA